ATCTCTCTCCAATTCCTCAAGCAATTTTTAACAAATGAAACAGTTGGACACCGACATCAAGATGTAAAATAACTGAAGCTATGTGACATGTGGGAAGGTGCTGGGCTAGTGATATTATCACTAGACTATCAATCCAGAAACCCAGGTAATGTTCTAGGGACTTAGGTTCACCATGGCAAATGGTGAAGTTTGAAACTAAAAGAAGAGTCTTGAATTGTCAATTGTGGAGAGAAATTCATCTGGTTCACTAAATTCTTTAGGGAAGTAATCTGCTGTCCTTACCTGGTCTGCCCTACATGTGACTCCAGACCTAAAGCAATGTAGTTGACCCTTAAATGCTCTCTTGGCAATTAGTGGTGGGTACTAAATGTTGGCCTAGCTGATGACGCCCATATCATATGAATGAATAATAAAAAAAAAAGCACATTCCCATCTCCAAACACGTTCTCATTGAATTTCTGAATTTCCCTCCAAGGGATGCACTCAGAAGGATAATTTTGTTGCAGCAATTTGTACCCAACAGATTTAGGCCACTGCCCCATTAACCATGAGTCCTCAAGAAAGTTTCTGATCAATTATCCCCCAAAAATGCACGTTATAAATAATACGTATTGTTCCTCTTACCTTTTGTCCTTATGTGCATGTATCAAAATAAGCTCAACTTTGACACACAATCTCTGTAAACTTGATCTTCACCTTTCAGAATTGAACCTAGTAATTTGTCTTATGATCACTTACAGTGGAGTGTCTGGTAGCTGCCAGAATGAACACTTTCCCATCAGACAGTCCCAGATTTGGCTGCACCAGTGTTTAGTTTCTGCTTTCCTCCGTCCTCAGTCCAGACGTTCTTGCTGTCCCCTGAGGTCATGACATTGAATTTTATAGAAATAGTTTATCTCACCAAGCCACTGCATCTGATCCCTCAGGCAGATCTGTTCAGAAGAAGGGTCCTGACCCGAAACGTTAGCTTTCCTGTTCCTCTGATGCTGCCTGGCCTACTGTGTTCCTCCAGCTCCACACTTTGTTATCTCTGACTCCAGCATCTGCTATTCTTGCTATATGCCTGTTCAGGAGCTGTTTTGTTTTATCTTCTTCCTCGTTCCCTATCTACCCAGCTTCAGCCTGCTAACTCCTTGGGAACAGATGAAGACTGATCCACTAAAGTGTCCTACCTTCAGAGTAATGACCAAAAACGTCATACAGTCACAAGTTGCCACTATAAGGGTCTAGAGTTTAAAAAACGTTATTTGGTCCATAAGACATAGAAGCAGAAATTAGGCCATTTGGCCCATCAAGTCTGCTCCGCCATTCAATTATGGCTGATAAGTTTCTCAACTCCATTGTCCTGCTTTCTCCCCGTAACCCATGATCCCCTTGACAATCAAGAAATTATCTATCTCTGTCTTAAATATACACAATGACCTGGCTTCCACAGCCCTCTGTGGCAATGAATTCCATAGATTCACCACTGTCTGGCTGAAGAAGTTTCTTATGATTGATGAATTAAGGAACATGGATAACATAGCAATGTGACCTATAGACTCAAATGATCAGATAAATGGAATGAAGGGAGTGTTGAATTATGAGAGGAAGGTCTGTACCAATAGAGCTGACAGAGTACATCATGTTTGTTTGGAGCTGTTGTACCTGACGATGACACATTTGAGATGTGAATAGCTGTGATGTCTGGTGCAATCACAGCAGTCAATACAATCTGTTGCTGTAATCACAATTTCAAATCACTTTTTTTCACAAGACAGTATCAAGTAACAGGAACAAAAACAGAAATTGCTGGAAAATCTCAGTAGGTCTGGCAGCATCCACAAGAGAAATCAGAGATAATATTTTGGGTGGAGTGGCCCTTCCTCAGAACTAATGGTTGCCAGGAAAATGTCAGTTTGTATGCAGAAGATAGGATGCAGGGAATGGGTAAGGAGTAAACGATAGGTGGGGATAGTGCCCAAAGAGAGACAAGAACAGTTGGACAGACAAAGGAGTGGATAACAATCTGGCTAGGAGATTGAAAAGCTATTAATGGAGACTGTAGTCTTCCAACTCAAGTAACAGTAACTAGTTTTGACATTTCCCTTCAGGGTCACTGGTTTTCTACATTGACTGGCTCAGCCAGCTGATGGAGTTTTCGATGATGTGACCTGTATACATTTTGTTCACACTTCAATCAGGATTGAATTATATTCTATAATGAAAATGCCTGATAAAGTATTTTATAAAGAGACAAAACATTATTTAATACAAAGTATCTACTGGTCAACTTTTCTCCTATGAAGGGAAACCATTTTGTCTTTTTTTACATTAACATAACTAGACTTTATAAATATAAATCCTAGCATAGATAGTGAAAAGAAAGGATATTGCTCTGAAGTTTATAGAACAGAGAATGCTTTCTCACATGGGATGATTGACACAGTAACAGCATTTAAAGTGTTTAAAAATTAAGCTCAGTTAGCACAGAGGAGAATGTAATTAGAGTGCATAGCTCTGATTTGACTTGAAGCAAATGGCCTCCTTTTGTGCAGTTTCAACCTTGTCTTGACCCAGTTTATAACACATTGATCAGGGATCTTCACAGTCATTATCCCTTAAAGTTCGTCATCTTTAACCCTCTATTTCAGTCAATTTGATGATAAAGATTAAACTGTTTAATCTTTGAGTATTACTGACTACCTATTTCAGTGAGTCCCAGTCTGTACACTGAATGATGCATGTCACATGGAGAAATTACAAGTCACTTGGTTGAATCAGCAGTTTTTCAGCTCTTTGAAGGTAATGTTTCAGTTATGGGAGTCAGTCTAGATGCAGGTCTGACCATCAAAGCATCCATTTATGCATCAAACAAATAAAACATCTACATAAAACTTGCTGTTAGCTCAAAAGTAACAGGAAATAATAATGAATGGGAATAGCAAGGGAGACACTAATTGCTGTACTTGTCTTCTCGCCCAGGCAGCTGCTAATCTTACGTGAGCTTTGGCTGTGGGTACTGGCAACCATTTAATAACCACAGCCAGAGTTAAATCAACCAGTGCACCAGAAGAACTCGCTCCTGTCCCATTATGATCTTTCTGACACCATACAATGCTGTGACCAGCCAGTGTTCGTGCTGGCCCTCTGGCAAGGATTACAACAGGGAAAGTGAACAGTTTCTGACTAATCTATCCCTCACTAGTAATGGCATCAAGAACTGTTGTAACATCACTACAGCTGACTCTGCACACACCAGTGTCTTGTTCAGCTGTGTGGCTCTATATCACTCTATTGCACAGC